CCACCCGGAGGGCGCCCCTCGCGCCGCGGCTCCGCGCTCCTCTCTGCGCGCCGCCGTGGCGCACACTGCCGCCCGCGTGGCCGCCCCGGGGGGTCCCCCGCCCGCCCGCGGGGGCAGGGGCAGAGGAGGGCCCCGCCCCGCCTCGTGGGCGAGCGGCGGCGGCAGAGTCCACGGCGGCCTCCCTGGGCGGCTGTTGCGAGAAGTGCGGGGCGCGATCCTCTGGCCTTCTGCCCCTTTGATTTCAGGAGGGGAAGAAATACACAGACACAAACGACTGTCGATCCCCCAGAAAATGCGGGAGAACGTGTATGGGAAGTGTCGGAGGGGAAGACGAACATCCCCAAAATATGGGAAACTCTAGGGATCCTTGGATTTGTGTGTATTCATTGTGTGCCCCTGGGCCCCTTCATGATTGTGAGGGGCAACGATAAGGGGGGATGGGCATAGGGGGGGGGGTTGTCGACCCCAAACCGCCCATTGACCGCCGATGGGGCTCTGATAACCCCGCCCTGCCCAACAGGGTGCGGAGCTGCTATCAGGGGCCCGTCGCCAATCTGTCGGCGACGTACCGCCGATTCCAGGAAGATGTTTCCCCCCCTTATGCCAGTCCCCCCGATTCCAGGAAGATCTTTCCCCCTGTTGCCCCTCAGATTGAAGTGGTGCGCTGCCGCTCCTGAATTTCCTCCCCACATGCGTTTCGACCGCACTCTGCCTCATGTGATAGAATGCGAATCCTCACGGGCGCCTCGCTTCCTTGTGGTTAACTTCGCGTTCGTTTGCAGGTGGCAGCGTTGGGATAGGGTCCCAGTCGAACGCACTGTTGACATGCAACCCTAGCTTGTCGAGCCAATGCAAAGTGCCAGCACGCAGCGCCATCACGCAGAGCGGAGCTTGCAAGGAGCGCAATTCAAAAACACAATGTGTCCTCTCGCCGATGCCTACACAATACTACCACTCACCGCAAGCACCCGAACCCCCCCCCGGGTATAGACTCGCATATCTTGGCAGCGCAGTGTTACATTAGGCGATTTCCACGCAGTGATGACGCAATACAAAAGTGCAAATTCCGAATCGTGTTCTCTGTCTGGCGCTCCCGTATGTTTTTCACCAAGGCTTGATTTTTCAAATCGGATTGATTGTGGTTTGTTTCTCGCGGCCAGTCTCCATTTATTGCTGCTTCTTGGATCGTCGCGGGCGGACGCGCACCGGAGCGCCAGCAGACGAAAGCATGGGAGAGCCGCCCAGGGGGTAGTAGGCGTTGCCTACCACCATCCACTAGGTGGTAGCGTTGAAAGTTGTGCTTCCTCCCTCCTTCTTGGTCCTCATCCTCCTCGCCATCCTGTCCCTCCCTCCGAGACATCGTTGGGGGGAGGGAGAGAATACAAGGGTCGCCTTCCTGTCTCATCTGTTCATTCGGGAGCGCGTGGCCCAGCGGTTGTCTGAGCTGTGATCTGGCGAGCACCGCGCGGTGTTTGGACGCAGTCTGTTCGGGACAGGGCAGTGCATAGTGCATTCTCACGGCTTCGCATCTTGGGGACAACTTCCAGCCGATTGCACAGTGTTGCATACTTTGGACACTGGTGGAGGTTGTTATCCCGCAGGCTGGCGCCAGAGCAGCTGGCAGGCAGATGGAGGGAATGCAAGCCCGGAGTGTGCCCCCGAGCTGCTTGACAAATTCATGTTGCGTATTGTGGGTCGGATCGGCAAACGTTGTTCTGCAGTTAAGAATACAGCAGCGTGCATGTCCGTGAGTCCGTGTGAATGAGTTCGTATTCCATCTAAGCAAGCACGTCTCTTGAGGGGGCTTCATGAGCAAAGGATGGTGGTAGGGCTCGAGAGGAGAAATGCTTAACGACTGACTGAAGGAAGAGGAAGAGATCTGATGATGGTGGAGGAACAAGACAGGTGGGATTTCAGGAGTGGTCGAAGGCAGAAAGGCAGAGGAACATGTGATGGGATATAAGAGTGAAAGGTGGGACGATAGGCCTATACCACGTAACTATGCCTCCTTGATCCGCTATGCCCACCCCCCGCGCCCAATCAGCCAGGGAAGCGAGAGAAAGGGGGACTTGAAGGTGGTGGGCAAGGGGGGAAGCGAATCGGGTGGTGGGCAAGGGTGGAGCGAGTGTCGGAAGGCGGAGTCAGGAAGGAAAAACGTCAGAATATGGCACAATTTCTGCGTGCTTGGTACTGCCCTCGCGCGTGTGCGCTCGTGTGTGTGTGTGTGTGTGTGTGTGTGTTCGTGTGTGTGTGTGTGTGAGAGCGTGTGTGTGTGTTGTGTGTGGTGTGTGTTGTGTGTTGTGTGCTGTGTGTTGTCTGTTGTGTGTTGTGTGTTGTGTGTTGTGTGTTGTGTGCGTGTGTGCGTCTGTGCGTCTGTGCGTCTGTGCGCGTGTGTGCGTGTGTGTGCGTGTGTGACCGTGTGTGACCGTGTGTGCGCGTGTGTGCGCGTGTGTGCGCGTGTGTGCGCGCGTGTGTGCGCGTGTGTGCGCGTGTGTGCGCGTGTGTGCGCGTGTGTGCGCGTGTGTGCGCGTGTGTGCGCGCGTGTGCGCGTGTGTGCGCGTGTGTGCGCGTGTGTGCGCGTGTGTGCGCGTGTGCGCGTGTGTGCGCGTGTGTACGCGTGCGTGCGCGTGTGTACGCGTGTGTGCGCGTGTGTGCGCGTGTGTGCGCGTGTGGTGTGTGCGCGTGTGTGCGCGTGTGTGTTTGTGTGCGTGTGTGTGTGTGTGTGCGTGTGTGTGGGTGTGTGTGCGTGTGTGTGCGTGTGTGTGTGTGTGCGGGTGTGTGCGTGTGTGTGCGTGTGTGTGCGGGTGTGTGCGGGTGTGTGCGGGTGTGTGCGTGTGGGTGTGTGCGTGTGCGTGTGCGTGTGCGTGTGCGGGTGTGTGCGGGTGTTTGTGCGTGTGCGTGTGCAGTTATGTGTGTGTGCGGGTGTCTGTGTGTGTGCGGGTGTGTGTGTGCGTGTGTGAGTGTGTGCGTGTGTGCGTGTGTGCGTGTGTGTGCGTGTGCGTGTGCGTGTGCGTGTGCGTGTGCGTGTGCGTGTGCGTGTGCGTGTGCGTGTGCGTGCGCGTGTGCGTGTGCGTGCGCGTGCGCCTGTGCGTGCGTGCGTACGTGCGTGCGTGTGTGTGTGTGTGTTTGTGAGGTTGTATCTGTGTGTGAGAGAGCTCGTGTGTGTGTGAGCGTGTGCGTGTGTGTGTGTGTGTGTGAATAAGTGTGTGTGAAGGTGTTTGTGTGAAGGTGTGTGTGTGAAGGTGTGAATGTGTGTGTGTGTGAATGTGTGTGTGCGTGCGTGCGTGCGTGGTTGGGTGTGGGAGTGGGTGTGGGTGTGGGTGTGGGTGCGTGTGTTTGTGAGGTTGTATCTGTGTGTGATTGTGTGTGTCTGTGTGTGTCTGTGTGTATTTTTGTGTATTTTTGTGTGTCTGTGTGTGTCTGTGTGTGTGTCTATGTGTGTGTCTGTGTGTATGTGTGTGTGTGTGTCTGTGTGTGTGTGTCTGTGTGTATGTGTGTGTGTTTCTGCGTGTGTGTGTGTGTGTTTGTGCGTGTGTCTCTGTGTGTGTGTCTGTGTGTGTTTGTGTGAGCGTGTGTGTGCGTGTGGCTCATGCACAGCTCTTCCTCGGAGCCACCACAGCAGGTGTATGTTCGGATCGCCTTTGTGGCGACTTAGATCACAAGGCGTGGGCATGTTCATAGGAATGCAGCGCAATATTCCCGTAATGCGGACATGAACCTGGTATACCAAGTACAGGGGTTCCAGGCTCAGTGGACTGCGAACAGCGTGTAAACATAAGCCGTCTAACGCGTTGCACATCGTTGCCCCGTTGTGGTGCTAGGCTTGTTCCCGGAATCTGTTGTCTGCGCTGCGCGCCAGTTTTTGGCATGGGTCGTCGAGTTGCTTGCTTGCAAGGGCCCTGTAAGAGAGTTCGAGTTCCACACCTCGCGTGTCCGAAACGAGCAGAGGTGGCCCGCCAGGTCCAGCGTCGGCCGGGCGACGCTGTCTGCCACCGGTCCTCCGTCGTCTCGCGTGGCCTCCCGTGGTCTCCCCGGGGGCTTCCCGCGGTCTCCTGTGGCCCACCGTGGAAAACCGCGCGGGTCGCAGTATCGCGCTGGGAAAATCAGGTACGTGAGCTGATTCTCAAACCCCCCCTTTGCTATCCCCCCCTTTCGCCCCGGCCCGACAGTAGCGGTTTCGAGCGGAAGGCTGGAGCACTCGCAGGTCCGGCGGGGCGAGGTCGAAGCGCCACGGAGGCCCGCTCCAGGGGTGCGCGTCGCGCGGGTGGGCGACGCGGGGCTCCGTGCGCGGGCGAGGGGGGCGATCCCGCCGCTGCTGCGGCGAAGTCCGCGCAAGGGGGCGGTCCCCCGTGCAGTCGGCGGGTGTGGGCCCGCGGTTGTCCCGGGTTGCCCAATGGTTGTCCCGTGGCTGTTCCGATGGGTCCCCGTGGTTGTCCCCATGGTCGCCCCCGTTGTAGACTGATGTATTGATCGATGGGGATATCGATTGATCGATCGTGAGGCCGACAGATATAGATATCGCCGCATATATCGACAGCGAGATCGATGGATGGATAATGAGATCGGTAAGCAGTGGGAGCGATTTAACCCCATTCCCCCGATAAAAAAGTACCCCCCTTACCCCTGAGAGTTGATGATCCCGGGCCAAAGCAGAGTCAGTCGGGGGAAAAGGGCGGCGAGGCTGAACTTCACGATGGCCAGTTTAAAGTGCGCCTCGAATGTGCGATCCTCTTATGTTGGGCAGCAGCACGATCACGAACATGCTGCAGGGCTATGGGATTCTCAAAATTTCAGTTGTCATGGGATTCTCACCATGTCAGTTTTCCCAGGTGGAAACCTCCTGCCAGGGCGAGTGGCGCACGAACTTTCCCTCACCCAAAATCATTGGACGTCCTGGGGTCTCAGGGTTGGGTTTCTTGTGGAAGGTGTCTTGTGTTCGGGCCTCCACTGTATGGAAGGGCGGATATCCTGCCTTGGTGCCCCATCAACGGGCGGGCGAGCGGGCTCGATTATCTGCGGAGCCAGATGCCGACGATGTGGGGCCACGCAGAGAAGCAGTCCGAGCTGATCGATAACCTCCACAGGGTGTACAACGAGGTCGCGAGGCGTCATGCGAGGGCTGGGCGGGGGGGTGGGCGAGAGGGGGGACGAGGGGAGGAGACGAGGCGTGAGGAGGGAGACGAGGAGAGGAGAGGGGACGAGGGGACGAGGAGAGGAGAGGGGGAGACGAGGAGAGGAGAGGGGGGGAGACGAGGAGAGGGGGACGAGGGGGGCGAGAGGGGGAGACGAGGAGAGGAGAGGGGACGAGGGGAGAGTCAGACGAGTTTCGCCCGATCGCGTAAAACGCATGCCCGGCACCACAGCTATGCTATCAATCTCCCTCTGTTGCACTGATGCGCTTGGCAGCACGACTATGATGCTCTGCGCGGTTGTTTGAGAGCTAGGTTTGGGGAAGTTGTGGCCAGTTCTGGCAGAACACGACGTTGATATTGTGTGCTCTCACCTCGTCTGCAATGGTGCGACAGTAGCTATCCGAGAGGCGTACGCCATTCTGCGGTGGGAAGGCATTGGGGGGCCTTTGGGAGACCGTTTGGGGGCCTCCTTGGGGGACCTCCTTGGGGGGCCTCCTTGGGGGGCCTTCTGGGCTTTTTGGAGGGTGCTTGCGGTCTCAGGAACACTTTTTGCGCGGAGGGTTCGAAATTTCAGTCTCAGTTTTCCCTCTTGGGCCCCTCTTGAAACTTGTTGGGACCCCCGTGGGCCGTCTTGGGCGCCTCCTTGGCCGTCTTGTGGCCCTCTTGGGCTGTCTTGAGGTGGGGGCTTCTTGAGCAGTCTTGGACGCTGTCTAGACGCAAAAAGCAAATTTGCTGAAAATTCACGTTTTCTTAAGGGAGTTTGTCGACTCTTGCTTCTTGGGACCCTTTTGGGGGTCCTCTTGGAGCCGCCATCTGGGGGCGTCTTGGAGGCTTCTGTTGCCGTCTTGAGGCCATAATGGGTATTTGTGAAGCCTTCTCAGCGTGTTCGAACCCAGCTTGAGCCAGCTTAGGTGGCATCTTGGACATCTTGGAGGCCACGCAGTGTAGATTTCGAGGCTCCGGAGGCCCCCGGAGGCCCCCAGGGGTGAAGTGTGTTGACGAGCTCGCCCCCCCCCCTCAAACGGTAGTTTGGATCCCAGGGAGGGGGACGGGGAGAGGGGGACAGCCAATTGTCTCACACGCTTTCGCACCCCGGGCAAGCGTTAAGTCGGGCACGTCTCTCTACAGGAGGAATATTCAAAAAGAGTCAGAAAAATAGTCTGGGGAGGATTTGTTTGACTATTTTGACCATTTGGGAGTATTTTCATCCAAAATCCCCCTGCGAGAGGACACGCCCGACCTAAAGGCAAGCGGGGTCGGCGGATTCCGCGAGACCCTGGCACAGCATCTGCGGGGTCATACCATGTGCACGCTCGCCGTGTGTGTTGGCAATGCGACAACTAGCCTTTCTCGATTGCCCCGAATGGCCACACGCTGGAGCGGATTGCCTCTGCCTCGCCGCCGACGAAAAAAGTTGTGGCAGTGAGGCCCAAGTGGCGAGTTGTGTCTTGATGGCAACACTAAATGTTGATAAATCGAAGGGGTCTGATGGCACGTCATTAGATAAATATATGTGTATAGATATATATATATATAGGTGTGTGTGTGCGCCCGCAGCGTGGTAACGGATTCAGGCGAGGCATCGGTGGTGAGTTTAGTGTTGGCGGTTTGCGATTGACTCCATTCCAGGCTCAGACCATGCAGCGAGTAGTGCCAGCTAGATGGAGAGTCCTTGTCAGTCAGCTCACGCTTACGTAAGGGAATGGTGTTCCTTCTCTTGTTCTTGCCGTCGGATTTAGCACAGCGACTGCAAATTATAGCGGGCTGGGCCATGAAGCAGCCAGCGATGAAACGCCGTGCCTGATGGGATAGTCATGCTCTGGAGTCGGCTCAGATCCCTGCATCAAGTTGGTTCTTTGATGTTTTTTTGTTCAGGCGATAAGCACTGGAGTTGATCAAATTGTTACTTGGAAGGGCTCGTCTGATTAATTAGTGCAGAACGTTGCATAGTTGAGACTTAATTTCGTTTATGAAACTCCGCTGCCAGGGCAACGCAATGTGTTGCATTTGTGAAGTCAGCACTACGAGCCAACGTTTGTCGATATATATATATATATATATATAGATATATGAAAGAGCTGAAGCCCACACCCCTCCAATCTTCGGAAGGGGGGGAATGGGTGGGGGGAGGAGTGCTGGAAAGCAGGGAGCGGGAGATATGTTCGAGGGTGGGTCGATTTAAGAGCGGGCTGGGTGGGATTTTGTTCACGTAAAGCTTATACAAAATACGTTACCGCATGTTGTTAGTATCGTTTCATTGGCAGTTCACGTCTGCCAGCATTTATGATGTGTCACGTGTGCTCGTTGCTGCATTGTATTCCGATTGCCAGTGGCCGCAGGGAAAGCCAGATTCCTGTTGGAGATTTTCCCGCGATTGACCTTATGAAGCAGAAGGACATCTTCTTCGATGGCAGTCGTAGCGACAAGGGATGGTCAGCGGAAGACAGCGCAAGATGGAAGACCGTTGACCCACGTGATTCCACATGCATCTGTCTGGCATGGCACAGCGATAGAGAGAGAGAGAGAGAGAGAGAAATCCCGGCAGCATGCGCTGCAGGGCCATCCGGGGGGAGGCATTCTGACATCGGATTGCCACGATCCAAGGCATCTCGTGGCCGGGCGCACGTGACCCTCGAGGGTCAGGCTCGCTTGGAAGCTGCCCGTGGCGCCGTGAGGTCTCACGCGGTCTGGCGTGAGCGAACCCCGCGCTGCTCGTGGGCCCCCCTCGCGGCCTTCGCCGGCGGGCGCGGCCCTGGAGCTCTCCGCTGCCGCGGCCGCCGCGGCTGCCGCCGCCCTCTCTCGCCCTCGGCCCGGGCCCCAGGCGGTGGCGTAAGTGGCTCGGTCCCCGAGCCACGTGGCGCCGCCCGCCGCCGCCGCCGCCGCCGCCGTCGCCGTCGTCGTCGAGCGCGCGCCCTGCGAAGCCGCGCGCCGTGCTCGCGGCCGTGCTCGGCCCTCGGCGGTGCCGTGGCGGGGCCCCGCCTCGGGGACTCGATGCGCTCCGGGCCCCGGGCCCCCGCGGTCCTCGCACTCGCGGGGCGGCGGGGCTCTCAGGGGCAACGACAGGGGGGAGAGGCATAAGGGGGGATGCATCGATCCCGAATCGCCTGTTGATGGCCGATAGGGGCCCGATGGTCCCAACCTGCACAGGAAGGTGCGGATTCACTATCGGGGGCCTATCGCCGATCTATCGGCGATGTATCGCCGAGGCCAGGTCGATGCATCCCCCACCTACGCCCCCCTCCTCGCCTAACACCCCCACCCTGGGAGAGCTCTGTTCTTGGGACCTCCCAACCGTCAATCTCTCGCCCGAAAACCACCTAGGACCTACGCCCTCCTCCTCGCCTGGCATCCCCGCCCCGGGAGAGCTCTGCTCTTGGGACCCCCCACCCCACTCTTTCTCTCCCGAAACCCATCTACGCCCCCCTCCTCGCATGGCATCCCCACCCCAGGAGAGCTCTGTTCTTGGGACCCACACCCTGCAATCTGCCAGTCCCCCCCTATCGTCGCCCCTCAGGCTCGAGGGGGTCGATGGTGAGGGTGCGCCTGTTTTCGGTGGCCGCAGCGCGGCTTGCGCTGAGTTGACGAACGAACAACACACCCATACCCATGGTCGGCGGCGAGCGACGGGGGGAAGTGAGAAGGAGAAAGCCTTCCCAGATGGCGGCGGGACTTCTCAGAAGGCCTCGCGCCTTCTGAGAAGTGTTTTTGTTGTGTGTTCCAGAAAGGCTTAGAACACTTCTCAGAATCGGGGCCCCCAAACGGTGTGGTGACCACACCGTGCGGTGAGTCGGTGGGGATTCGGGGTCACCGCACGGTTTTGGGATTCGGGTCGTTCTCCGAGGACTTCTCGGGCGACGGGCTTCCAGGGTCCCAAGACCGTGCGGTGACGGACCGTGCGGTGAGGTCTTGGGGGATTTCGAGGTCACCGCACGGTCTGTCACCGCACCGTTTCGGGACTCCAAACAGAAGGCCGGGGGATTTCCCTTCTCACTTCGCCCCCTGGCTCGCCGCCGACACAGGGAGGTCGGAGTGAGCAGGACTGGCTATGGATATGGATGCAGGCTGTCGGACCCCTGGGGAGGCTCCCGTTCGAGCGGGGACCCCGCGGGGGTTGCTGGGAGCGCAGGGCTCATGTCGATCCCTCCGGTTCGATCCGATCCGAGTTCGATGGCTTCAGGTTCCGATCTGGTCCGACTTCGGAGTCCCATTCGGGCTCCGATGCTTCCACGGAGACCCCTGCCGGTTGGCGCCAGATTCGGGCCAGTGGTCGTGTGTTGCTGGAGGGGCCCCTTGCAGGTGCGCTGCTTGCTCTGAGGGCTCGGCCTTCAGACGCGCGTGCGCGCCCTCTTCTCCGACCGCTCGACGCACCGTCGCTGCGCGCGGGGCCGCGACGCCAAAAAGTGCGCATGTTGGGTTCTGCCACTCCCTGGTCGGCCTCCAGAGGTCCCCGGAGACCGCGAGGAGCCGGTCCCTGGTGGTTGCTCAGGGCCCAGGGCCTCGCGTGGCCCATCGCTTGTGGAGCGGGATGGGGCCCAACGGAGGAGGCGCGCCCCCCTCGTGGCCCAATCTTGCCCTCGCGGTGGCCCTCGTGCGGCTGATCTCGGCAAGTGGCCGCGCGGCCTTTGCGTACGGGGGGATGGGGGGGAGGAGGGGCGAATCTGACAAAGTCGATTTGAGTGCCCGAGGCCACTGATAGCCCTTGGTGGCCTGAAGGCGCGTAGAGCGGGGCTCAAGAGGGGCCCCCCTTAGGGTGCTTTGGAGGTTTTGGGAGCCGTTTGGGCGGGTGTATTGGGACCATCAACGGACGTCAGAGCCATTGTCCTTGCGCAGGGCGCGTCTTGGGAAGTTCGTGGACCGTTCTGGACCCTGCCAGGCGCCGCCAGGTGGAGGAGGGGCCACGAGGCTTCTCACAGCCAGCGTTCCGCCCGAACAGAGACTCACGT